TAAGTTTTGTCTTTGAAAGCAGTCCAAAGTGTAAGTCTTGACTTATTTAGACTTGTTTATTTGACCAGTAGGGGATGTACATAAATATCACAGATTGGCTGTCATATATAAAAGCTGCATGGTTTGTAGTGTTATGGCGTTCAAAGTGATTTTGTAAAACTTTGATTGCAGCCTAAGGTTTATTTAAGGTAAGGATGGATAGTCCTAACCTTCTTGCATTCCTGAGTTTGCATAGTGTACAATAGCAGCTAACTGTCTCCTATCTCTAACTTTAGCTGTTCTCAGAGCTAACCTCTCCATATACTCAACCCACTGGTACCTATAAATAAACATTTCATCGATTGCTTGAAGCTTCCCGTCCACACAGTAAACATACAGAGCGTCACCTCAAAGTTTGATGTGGATGAACATAAAAGTGCTGATATACATAGAAGTTTTTATTTCTCCCGGTTTCAGACCCATGGATCAGGGTTTGCGAAGATAGATTCGGTTTGGCTCATCAGAACTCTGACATTCTGAGTTATGCAACTTGTTTCCGCAGCCTACAGTCCAATACGCCCACCTAAGCCTCCACCTTTTTATTTTTCAATTTCTGACAACTGAAGAGTTGAGAACTACCCCTGACTGTTATAATGAGACAGCCCACTTCACTACTGGACGATTTTGTCTCATTTGTCTCTTCAGCCTCTCGTTTGGGTGGGGGGGGGGGGGGGGGGGGGGTGAGGGGGGTCCGTATACTGTGTATAAATCATCACAGATGGTAACAGAAAATAGCCTTAAACAAAACTGTGACCTGAATTCTCTTCCGTGGGTTTCCTTTGTGGTGACTCTTGAGTTCGGTCATTAGCAGTGAGGTGAAAGAACCTGCTGACACTGTGAGCCATTAACGGAAGATGAGATCTGATTAATCACACACACACACCACATGGTGCAAGAAGATCGGACACTTTCATCTGGAGGAGTCTAGCCGAGACCTGGCCCAAACATCATATGCCCAGTGAATTGTGATTCCGTCCTTTAGTAATGAAAGTGAGGTGTATTTATTTTCTCTAGGTAGATAGATGGATAGATGTGCTTAGTCTAATGTAATCTAATGCAATGCAAATCAGTCAAGACAGCATGGCATTACTGCATTACTTTAGAAACATGTCCAGATGTGCCGTAATACATTTCTACAAAAATATTCTGGATTGCTGATGGGATGAGATGCAGGATTTGAAAAAAGGTATGAAAGATTTCTACTTAATTTAGTGTGGATTTTTGATTAACTGTGTATGCGATGCTCCGACAGTGACCTTTAACCTCTTCACCCACTCTTCTCCTCCAAACAGGAAAAAAAGTGCATGGATTTTTGCTCTTCATTTGGCTGTGTCTCTTTAGACAAAGTAATCTGAGAGCGCTTTTGCCAAAATAATCAATTTTTCAATGACAATGAAAGGAGCAAACATGGTGAACTACCACATACATGGTGCTACCAAACACAATAACTCAATAAGCGGGCCGATAGCTCCCCTGTGAAACACTGGCAGCATCTCTTTCCTGTGTTCAATCTCTAGTATTACACATGCATGACCTCATCAGGAAGATCTGAGCTGGTATTTTACAGATACATGACTCAGTCTTGAGTTAAGTTTAGCCTTCCCCAGGCTATCTGTAGAGATCAGGCTTTACAGTAAAACAGCTCACATTATTGGCTGTTCATTTAAAAAATCTTAATTTGGGCATGTCTCTTGCAGCTACTGACCATGCATGTGCCATGTCCCTCATGGCATCACACATGAGTTTTGACTGGCATCTAATGCTGCTGCATATTGACATGGAGGCAGAGTAACTCTGCGGTTGGCAGGCTAAGCCTGCAGCCTTGAGACCACTTTGACCTTACTTGGGTATGAATGTTGTGGGTAGGGGTGGGCGATATCTCGATATTTAAAATATATCGAGATATTTTTTAAACACGATATGGATTTTGACATATCGTATATATCGATATATTGTTTATATTTAATCCTGATTTCGCCACTTTGCTTGTTTGCCTTCTCTGTGCTGTGCTCGCCCCCGCCTCCTTGCTTTTGTTTCCCCTCACCTCGCGTGTTGTCTCATTCAACAATTGTCTCATCCGCAACCAGCCCGGAGGCTACAGAACTCCGAGTGTGTCTGCGCACGAGCGACAGAGCACGAGAGAAACCGAGTGTGAGCATTAATTGCATTAGTAAATTGGTAGCCTACATACTACAATATATAATTACTATATAAGAGGCATGGAAGTTCGATTAATGGACTCCAGTAATCAGAAGGCTACTACAAACGTCTAAACTATTGCAGGGCTCGAATTTCGGCGCGGGTATTGCGCATAATTCTAATCATTCCCGCAGGTCTCCCATTTATAATGCGGGAAATTCCCGCAATCGTAATCCACACAGATTATAAAATCAAATCATTCTTTTAACAACTATCTGCCAGACGCAATTTCACAAACAGCGCGAGTGTTCAGCGGTGCCGCTTCTTTCTCGTCTAATGTGTTGTGCAAGGCAAGCATCAAGAGCTGCGGCGATAAAACACACTCGCGTTTAGGAGTCGGGACATGATGGATATTCACTCGCACAATCGGGCCAGCAGTGCATCGTGACTGAAGTTTACCATTTGCACGTCTTTTTAAGTCTTACCAGTTTAAACATTCAAGCGATTTTAAACTAATCAGTGCTCGTGCGCTCTCTGAGAGATTAATATTTCTATGCGCACATTCATAGAAAATCCGCCTTAAGAACAGCTGGCCAGTAACAAAAGTTATTTTTCGCGGATTATATTGCTTTAACACGCAAAATTGTCAATTTCGGTCGTCGTGAGTATACTCTAAACATAGTCGGTTTTGTCTTTAATAAGCATAAAACGCATGCCAGTATAATGAACACAGGATCCGTGCACTACCTCTTAAAGTGACGGCAGCCATATGTGTGTCATTCATTTTGTTGTCAATACAACAAAAGATAGCTTTAAGTTAAAGGAATCAGGATTAATAACCAATGTATTTAATTTATTCAGGACTAAAATACTACTCAGTGTTATTTTCCATTTGATTACTTTATTCAGTTTCTGTATATGAATCACGTGATTAATAATGATGACGAAATTCAGGCCCTGTGTTTCATTTTTCTCATTTGGTTACATTCTGTTATGGAAAATTAATTTTCTATTGATTGTAGGCCTATATTTTGAGTTGTATTCACATCCATTTTCCTGTAAAGATATCGAGATATATATCGAATATCGAGATATAGCAAAATATATCGAGATATATTTTTTGCTCCATATCGCCCAGCCCTAGTTGTGGGTTACACAAATGTATGGGTTTTTCTGAATTTATGGATTTTGTTATATTTTATATGGTGTATATATGTTGCCTTTTGGCTCATGAGTTCTCTCTGTCTGTTTATCTGCAGGGACGGATACACAAACCCTGTTTTGCACTTGTAGTTCCAGAGTAGATTCTGCCTTGAACAGCTCTGATAAGCTCTTTTCTGAACTGTCTCACAATTTAAGGGCTTAGGGTAAGTAAAAAACAATAGAAACTCATGATACACATCATGTTAAAATCTGCCAAATCAGTGACGTAATGACGCAAAGACATGCTCGAATCTCCCGCGGAAATTAAAACATTATTACAAGCTTACCGCTTTGAATCGAGCTAAGGCAAGCAGATAGTTTTGCACACTGGTTGGTTATTTATTTTCTCAAATATGTATTTTGGATAATTTTTCACCCAAAAAAAGCTATGGACTGCAGCTTTAAACGATTATAGAATGATTTAAGGACGTTCAATTACTTCAGAACACTGTGCTAAAATGACTCTTGTGGGTCAGTTTAGTGAAGCAAACCCATACAGTGCCACATACAGTGCTAGAGTCCGATTTCCTGAATCCATCACTGATGAGCCGGTTGAGTGAATTAAAACCACACAGCATGGCCACCTATTGTCCGAATTTCGAACATGACACGAAAGAATAGTGATGAGACGGTGCTTTTTAGTCCATTGAAATAACTTGGAGTTGACTTGCTAACTGAGCCGTTAAAAGTTATACGTTTCTTAATCTCCGAAACGAGAACTTATGTTGCTCTTAAAACAACACTAAGTAAGATTTTTTACCTTAAAATAATGTTTCCATAATCGTTTCAGTGGTTCATCAAGTCGTAACAGGGTGAAAGGCACTTACGCCTCCGCTTTGCGGTCCTATATCGGCTATAACCACGCTATGTAAGATTGCCAGATCGGGTCGAGTTTCTGTAGTTCTAATGAGACATAAGAAAACTACAAATTTGACTTGTTTTACGTCAAGCGTTACAATAGTCATTATTTAGTTTTTCTTCGTTTCTGATGTCGCAATACATCATACTTTCATGAAATCATGCAACATACTCTACCTTGTCTGTGGACATCGTTCATTCCAAAGCCGGTGCTGGATAAACAACGAGCGTGCGTGCGACAGTAGGCTAAACTATTTACGACAGCGGTAATAGACAATTCCGCTTCCAACCTGTAGGGCGACCGCAGAGGAAAAGTTACTTGGTGTTGCTTTAAGGACCATGAAGCTATTGTATCTTGTCGTGTTGACTGATTATTATATAGAAGCGTGTGGTTAGATTGTATGGACACATTAGGGGTTTGTGGTAATTCTCTAGGCTATGTAATAAAATAAATCAAATTGGCTATTAATTTGAGAAAATGTATAGGCTGAAGAAGACCAATCTAGTTTGTGTTTACCTCTAAAATGGTTATATATAGCCTAATGTAAACACACCTTTTGGAAGAATTCTGTTAAATGTATTTACTGGCAACAGACTGGGGAGATTAAATGCAACAACAACTTTTTTTTCGCCCTCAAATATTTCAAAACAAATAGTAAATGGAACCGTTAAGTCCTCTGAATGTTAAAGATGATTATTATGATCCACCCAAAATCACAAACGTGAGATTCCTTTCGATTCCCATCGCTCGACAACACATTACGCGAGAAACTGCAGCACCTCGGACAATTCCTCACCCGCCCCGCCCTCAGGGAATGATTGACATCTGGGCATCCGATATCTCACGAGCGGCACCAGCTACATCCAATCAACGGAAGATCTGGGACTTGCAGTCGTTGCCCGTGGATACAACAGGGGGAGCTTCAAAGCGGTTGTTTACAGTTGCGAGCGGCAGTCTGACCGGACGGAGGCATCGGCATATTCCCGCAGATGGGCTAAAGACGAACCATCTGGGAAGCGCATGGACAGTTATCTTCAGCACAACTAAAGGAAAAAAAATCCAACTCCAGGTTATGTTGCAGATGCTTACCGACAGCTAATAGAATCACTGGGTTCTTTTCCTTGTACGACTGGTGCGCATTTTGCCTGGGTTGCTTTAGGACAACAGCTGGATCTAACATTCTCTTACAACTGACAAGCTTTTTGTCGGACCAAACTCACTGGGCAAGATGGATAACGAAAAGTACTTGCCAGAACTGATGGCGGAGAAGGATTCTCTGGACCCGTCCTTCCAGCACTCATTGCGTCTTCTTGATCAAGGTAAGTCCCGCTGTCTCCTGTCAAACTATTCGTGTCACACCTCTTAAATTCCTCTAACGTTACGCGATGTTCTGTGCGTTTTGCGCCATCACTGGTTGAAATACTAAGGAGATGATGATTATGATGAACCCTTTATTTGTTTGTCCTATTCGCTTATTGTAACATATTCAAACATAGCGACTATAAATATATGCATTTGTACATTGTGGCAAGCCGTTTTAACACGAACTAGTAGCGGCTTTTTTTTTCCAGTTTTACTATCAATTCCTTAGTTATTCCAGTAGTGGCTATCTATCTGTTGAATTTGTTGTTTTTGAACCACTACTTTTCCATTGCATAGTAACTTACTTGTTCCTTTGTTTTAGTCACAAATAGTGACAAACAGCTAGCTCATTTGTTGGTGGTAGCCTAACAAATAGCATTTTTCTCCAAATATTGCTAGTAGTATTAATCTCATAGAAACTAATACCCTTTAGGTACAAGTGTGTGTTCACACATTGTTAATATATTTAATCTTCCTTTACCTTTTTTATTAAAATTGAACTGCAAAGTATCCATTCTGACTAACCATTTTATAACAAGTGAAATAAAATGTAACTAGAAATGTTACTAGTGACATTTGGGTTAGAGTCTCTTTGGATATGCTAATGAGTAAATGTAAGTGTGTATGCAGTAACCTAAATAGGCAGCATAAACATACTGGTTTTATTTTTTTCATATATGTGTATTTTTCTGTTCTCTGTAAAGAATTAAGCATGTTCATTCCTCAAGAGCATGAGCTCATTTGCGCTTCAAGAAAGCAGAGCATATTTGAGTCTAGACTCTAGAGAGAGAGCGCAGAACTCATTAATTAATCCGTTTTAAGAGCACTGCACAGAACCAATACCATTGATAACGAATGTAGCAGGTGCAGTTATTCACGTTTCTGGATTGGATGCAAGACTTTGGGGCTCTCAGGCAAATAAGCACTGAATGGAAAGTGTGTTTAAGCACCAGAGAGTTCCATCCAGATATTTGTGTTTTAGAGTTTTTACATTCAAATGCAAAGACATAAACATCCGTCCGTTCTACTTATCTTTATGTGCAGCTTAAAGAAAATGTTGAAGGGATGGTTTGCCAGTTGGTGGGGACATTCATAATTCAAACAAAGACTCGCATGACGTGAACATGTTCAGAATGTTGGTGTTGCATGACAGTAAGTCTGGCAATATAGGCAAAATGTCATTGTTTTATTCCTATACCTTTCTTTAGTTTGGCATACCATAGCGCCGCGCTCCCTTGCAATGCACATAGCTGTCATAGATGCGCGCTCCATCTCTTTCTCTCATCCGAATGCTCTCTGTTGCAGTGTTGCACAAGTAATATGTCAAAGTTATTTACTCATGAAAACATTTGATGCTGTTGCTTGAGATGTGTTCCTCGTCGTGCGATCCAATGAAAAATTCCACTCGATTCACCGGGCAGAATCGGCTGTAGTGTCTCCAACTAAAGCCATAGAGCTTTAAATCTGGTGAACCAGTGCGTAAGAGAGTCCGTTCACAGCTTTAGGCATGATGCAGCCATTCTTCAATTAAAGCTGCACTTATGTAATAGAATGTGTTCCCTGGCTGTTACTCTTGGTTGCACTTTGCCCAAGGGGGTGACTGAAGGTTTCCGAGCTCTAAAACTAAGGCATATATGAGGTTTGAAAAGCTGCAGAATCAGCAAACATGTGCTTTCTGTGCAACTGTTCATATATAATTGGGGTATGGCATTGAGACTCTTGTTTGAGTGTAAAAGTAATAGTACTACTAAAATGAAGTCATTATTTACTCACCTCCATGTTGTTCCAAACCTGCATGGTATTTTTTAAACCAGCAATATAGAAGTTTTTATTTTATTTGTATGCTGTTTTATTCTTTACAACATCGAATAGTGAACACATGTCAAGCGCCAAAAACACAAAACAACAACAATAAATAAATAGATCACTATAACTCATCCGCTTTGTTGCACAGAAACAATTATTGTGTAACTGGGTGGTATATTTTGAGGGAACAATTTCTTTAAGAGCACAGGGTTGAGGAGTATATGTGCAGGGAATAGTGTAAAATCAAATAAAAAATGTACAGTACAAAGTTTCACTTTTTTATAAATGTAGTGATGCTTTTTGATGCTTTTTCCTGTATTCAATATCCAAAAAATATCTCCTAATAAGGGTCATTCCAGTCTAGCTTTGCAGCTCAAAGCTGCCAAATGCAGATGTCATTAGACATCAAACCTGTCTCATTTCTCAGCAAAAATGGTGTGGTCTCTCTATCTCTTTCTCAAAGCCACATCAATATGCCAGGGTGGAAGACATTCAGATGAGTTCTTTCGACAGTAACTGAGATTTCTGCAGAGACCGCTTGGGTTTGCCGTGAGAAGAACGGTAAACCGCGGGTATGACCAGCGTAGTGGATACAATTTTTCACACTTTCACACTCAGCACTTTTCTTACTTATTACTCCATCTTGCTTCCTTTCACTTTAAATTGCAAGGCCTTTTAGCAGGATATTTTGAAGTGAGAGGCATGATGACAGAAGGACAGAGTTTTAACCTCTTTTCAGATCTTGAAATGTTGCGCTTACAGAAATGAAAACGAGAGAGGGAGCGAGAGAGAGAGAGAGAGAAATTGAGCCAGCCAGGAAGAAAGAGACTGCTTCATAAGTGTATTTGCTCGTTTATTAAGAAAGATGCAATTTGCAAGTAATTAGCTAACATCTCTCAATGTTTTATTGGCAGAAATCAGCATAGGCGTCCTGGGGTTTGGAGATGTTTGCGTGGCTGCCAAATCTTGAGAAAAACTTGCGCTCTTATCTCCAGTATACTACAGATGGCTCATGATGTCATGTCGAGTAGCTCTCATCTTAGAATCCTTAACTTAATTATGTAATTGGCAGGAGAAGAGGAACACAAAGAGAAGCAACTTGCAAATACACATTCGCACATGCATTTACACTGTTTGCAATGCTTCACAGGCCGCTAAACAATTCTTAACTGGCTAGAAACAGATGCAGTGGGAGTTTTATTAAACCAGCGCACACCAACAGTCACCAAACCCCCAAATCCCACACAATCTTTTTACTTAATTGCTTTAGAAAGGACTTTCTTAAGAGAATGTGAGGCGTTAATTAGGTATTTAGTGTAATTACACTCCATTAAATTAACAACGGATCCATAATTGGGTCTCAGAAAAGTACAATTTAATGTACCAGTAAAGACTTACATTTAGTAGCGGTGTGTATACGTGTACTTGAATTTAGTAAGCATATGTATTTCTGAAGATGGTTGTGTACAGTATTGCAAGTCTGGGTTTCACATCATGATTAAATGCATAGTAAATTGATGAATTGCAAATGACATCACCAAATGCATGAGGAAGATTCAATGTTGCACGCTTTCGTCGCTTTTGTACTTTACAGTACTTGAGTGTGACACTTTCTAGAGGCGGTTTAAAAAAAAGGTTAGTTTTTAGAGCTTCCACATTAGACAACTTGCTTCTACATTATTGAACTCAAAATATCGATGCAACGATTGATGCAATTTCGTGAGATAAACAGTCAATGGTAATTTTGCATGGGCAGATGTTTAGCTTTGCCACATCTTTAGTTGTTCAGTTCAATATTTAGCTGGTTAGCATAAATTAACTTCTGCTGGTTTATTCTGAAAGCATATAAATTGAAAGTATTTCATTATATTAGATGTTTTAGCAGTGCCAGATTATATGTGGTGGTCTCAATGTACCAGCAATGCCAATGGATCACTTTCTCCAGGTATTATAGACCACCTTGGTTTTGCCATGTTTATATCATATCCAATCCACCATATACCCAGAGGAAGGAGAAGAGAGTGAGTGATGAGAAAAAGAGGAAATCCTTTTGCTCAAGCATGCTGCATCCCTGGTTGAAGAATAAACAAATGCTTGTGCAAAATCCCCCAAAACTCCCAAAGCACAGCATAAGATGGTCTATAAGATACATTTAAGATTCAGGAAGGGACATTGATTCCTGCTATGATAGAGAGATCTATAAAAATGTGTTTTTTTTCTCTCTCTCTTTGCCCTCTGGTCTGTGGCTATATGCCGGCTTACAAAACCACCCACGAGCAAACAGAAACAGCGCCTGGCAGTGCATCAAATGCCTTGTGAACGGAGATAGATAGAGACAGTTAGAGAGATAAATTGCAAGTAGAATGACACTTGATTGAGATAATCATCACTGTCTCTCAGACGCGCCGGGCAGCATTAATATCTTATCATGTGTGTACGTGGATAGCTGTCGATGTGAGTTTTCTGACCTGAGATCAGGTCGGTTTTTGCTAATATATCACAGTACTGGAGAGAATAGGATTAGGATAACTGATCTAGGGTCAGTTCTGATGAGTATAGACGCTCAGATGCAGAGTGAACAGATCTTTACAAGCTGTTTTTATCTCTTTTCCATTATTCGATATGAGCGACCTTATGTCATTGCATTAAAAAAAAATTAATGACAACATAACTTCAATATGGACGATGCATCAAGTATCTCCTGGACATGTACTGCCCTCTTTTATTGCAGTGAACAGATGTGCTGCTATGTTTTTTTTTTAGATTGGGAGTGATTTTTATATTTGAAGTAAAAAAAAAGGTTTTATCTGTGTTTTATTGCATTTGCATGCATCAGAGGGATACAACAATCGTGTTTGCTCTACAAATGAATGTAAACCAAATGCAACAGGACTGTAGAATGCTTTAGTGTTTTCTGTGTATGACTCAGTTTTTTTTAATTATTCATATCCTTGTAATGAATTGCCAGAAGTTGGCATTAAAAATATCTTCTTTTTTTTTTATAACCTCATGCTATTTTTTTTCTGCTTTTGCTCTGTCACTTCTTGATCCTGCTTAGGCAGCTAATGACAAGTTATTATTGCAGGATGTCTTTTACCGAGAGGATTTTAGACACGCAGCAATGCACTTGCTTTTCCTCTGTGTGTGAAGT